CTATCGTTCGTTGTAAAGAGCCGTTCAAAAGATTCGGATCGTTCACGAACGTCACATCTCTAATCAACAGTTATTTGGTCACTAGTTAAAGCAGTCCATTATAACACCTTCCTAAAATAATTGTGTAATTCAGTTTTGCCAACTCAGATCTTGGGTGATTATTTAAGGACGATGACAATAGTTGTCTCCAACCCGGTGTTGCTTGTTGATTGTTTTTCACGTGAGCTACTGAGAGAGAAGCTAGATAGTCAAGATAGTCATAGTCAACAAATCTTGTGCGAGCTTGGTTCATGCAGTTTTTCCCTTGAGAAGTATCCCATTTTATTACCTGTTACCACTAAAAGTCACGCTTTGATTTTTCTCTGTCATATTGAAAGAAATCCCAAAGTGGACGTTGCTGCTTTCTCCTAACTTTTGCTGTTGTCATTTGGCAGACGATGCTGAGCAGCAGCAGACTGTAAACAAGTGTTGTTACAAACCATGAGGTGCTGTAAGCTGCCCACAGCTAACGTGAAGCTACTCAGTTAAAAAAAGTAACAAACACTAAAACTAAAGATATTCTATCTATAATTGCAGTTAGTTTTACTTAGTTTTGTAAGAAGATTATACAGATTTAGATTACTGTTTTTAATTTTATTACAGTTTTTTTTTTTAGTTAATTAAAATGTTTTTTTCAATTTCAGTTTTCGTTATTTAGTTAGTTCTAGTTGACTATAATAACCCTGCTCCTTACCCGTGTCACTCTGAGTTGTTTTTAATCATTTGAATCATTTTCGTCACCTCGGGTCTTTGGCAATCCAGGTGTCATCTACAGGTGGGGGGACGGGAGTAGAAATGGTGGTGGTGCTGATGTCCCCAATGATGACGAGGGCCTCCTTCAGAGCGTGGTACATCTTCAGCATCTCGTCTCTCCTCTGAGCCTGCTCCGCTGACTCCTCCATCAAACTGCCCTGGTCTCCGGCTGAGTACAGGTAGGCCAGCAGCTCGGAGTGGATGAAGTCCTTTGTCTGAAAAACAAAAGAAAAAAGTGTTTTTGCATCTTAAACATGACCCAAATTTTCTTCATCATCCTAAACTTCAGGGAAAATTGGAACATATAATACCATCTTTAAGTTTAAATATAATTCTGTTCTGTTTTTTTAATAGAGCTGCTTTGTAAGATCGAGCTGAATGAATGAAATTTAAAAAAAAAAAAAAAACGATGTACATTGTTGATCATGAGGTGCATGATGGTCTTGGGCATCAGGTCCCTGATGGACTTGTTGACGATGCCGATGTACGAGTCCACGAGGTTGCGGATGGTCTCCACCTGCCGTTCCAGCTGTGGATCCATGGAGACCGTGTCGCCAGAACTCACGGCATCCTCGTTTTCAGGCTGAAGGAAGTGAGAGGAGAGAGAAGGCAGAAACTGATGTGAAGTGAGTCGTTTAGTGTTTTTGTCAAGTTTGACCTGAGTCACATCATTTTCATAATCGATCATGTGGAAAGTTATTTTCCACTGTAGGTTGATTCTTTTTTTTTTTTTTCATCCTAATTAACAAACAGAAAAGTCACATTTTAAACAATAAAAACAAGGGATGCACCGATATGAAAATTTCAGCCGATATCAATATCCAATATAATTATTGCTGTTATGGCCGATATTTACTGATGTTATACAAACACACAAATTATATTATACATAAACGCACAAACACACTTTGGGTCTTTTTTTGATACCGTAAATAAACAACCAGACCTCTGACATGGCTCTACTTCACTTATTYCTGGATGTGCAGCATCAATATCACTATCATGATTAAACAGATGCTGCTCAACCAACCATCTCCCCTCCCAAAACAGAAACACAAAGGGTTTTTTTTGTTCCGCTCTTTGCTTTAAAGGTGGGGTATTCTGCAAAATCAACTGTTTTTGAGCTTTATATCATGTTATAATGTCATTCCCTTATCAAACACATACCCAGACTGTTGCTTTGACTCATTYATGCATGTTTGAGAAATCCTTGAATCTCCTGTGGTAGCCATGTGAAGCTGCCCAAATATTTGCTGGTACAAAGCKCCGCCTATTTACACAAAGCTCCTCCCTGAAGCTCAGTCCCTAGCTGAGCTCCCACCCCACAGAGCACCCCTCCCCTGCACCTACCGCACACAGCTCAACCAGACCAGACAAATCACTACACAATGCTCCTACAAAAGTTGTAAACGGCATGAAGCATTGTTGTGAAGATGTGCTGAAGTGGGAATGTAAGAAATGGTAGGTGGTTCTTATAGAGACAGAGGCCAATTTGTAGGTGCTTAGACAGATTATGATGCAAAGTCAATTATATATATAT